GAATGGGGAGGTAGAGAAAGGATATGAGGGAGTGGCTATGATTGACTTACACATGAAAATATCACAATGAAATTCATTATTCTGTATAATTAAATGTATTTATTTAATACAAAGATAAAAAGTATATAACTTCCAAACCTATAGAAAGAAAAACAGAATAAATATAAAAGTAGAATTCTATTTATTTATTTATTTTTTCTCTGTATTTTAGGGAAGGGTCTACAGCGCATTCAGGGTCTCACTACTAGATCGGACTTGTAGTGATCCTTCTGTTCACAGCCTCCTAAGTACTGGGATTACAGGCACGTGCCACCATACTCAGTCTCAATTGCCATCTCAGCATGCCCCGGGGGCAGAGCCGGCATGGTAGGCCTGGGAATCGAACCACTGGGCTCTGTGCCTGATTGCAGGCACTTTAATCTGCTGAGCTATTTGGAAGACCCTGAAAAATAGAATTCTAATAGGATAATTCTAATCTAACCTGAAAAAAGTCAAGAAATAACTTTAATCAGGTAGCATAAATAAAAAGCAGTGAATAAGATTTGAACACAAAGCCATCAATAAAAGGTTAAATGCCCTTGTTACAGTAAATTATTAGAATGGATTAAAACAACTATATGCTTTTTCCAGCAGGTACATTTAGAACATAAGGGCAGAGAAAGGCTGAAACTCAAAGGATGGAAAGAGACAGGCTGTGTTATCAAAAGCAAGATGTTGTTATTAGTATCAGAAAAAACTGAAGACTTTAGCAAAAGACATTGCTACAAATGGAAGTTTACTTCCTAAAGTTTCAATTGACAAGGAAAACAATACTATATTCTGTGGCCTCAATAAAACAAAATTCACAGAACTCTTAAGAACAAACAAATAATTCAATAATTATTAATTCATAGAGCAAGAAAATAAAAATCCACTAAGAGTAGGGAAGATACAAATAATACAATATAAATTTGAATGAAAAGCTTTACGTGGATGACTACATCCAGGATCTGCAAAACACAGGTTCAAGTGCTCATTAATCTTCACTAAGGTCCAAGATAGGCTATAAGTAAATTTATTTTATTTTTATTAGTATATATTTACAGCATATAATGTTTCTATTTTGTAGATGACATGTGTACATAACACATTTTTATTCCTTCTTCACTCTCCTTCCTGCTCCTCCCCATTCCCAAGCAAATCTAGACAACTTTTAAATGATACTAACTGCACAGTGTTTTCTGATTAACAATAAAATATCAGAGTATATAAGAAATCTGCATTATGTTTGGAAGTTTAAAAATATCTTTCTAAATAACATAAGATTATCAGTTGTGATTTCCCAGTTTTTTTTCTGACATCAGTTATGTGTGTTTTTCTGTTTTTCTTGTTCAACCACACTAGAGGTTGTCAATTTTCCTAACCTTTTCGAAATGCCAATCTTAATTCTATTGATCTACTCCAGGGATGGTAGACCTCTTAGAGATGAGTGCCCAAACTGCAACCCAAAACTCACTCACTTATCATAAAGTGCCAATGCTGCAATTACATCTCAACATTGAGATTTTAACTTAGAAAAAACAACTCATACATTAACATCTTTTGTCATAAAAGAAAAACAACGTGTGCCATAGGTTCACCACCACTGAATTCTCCTTTATTGTATGATTCCATTTTATTATTTTTTGCTTCTATCTTATCTCCTTTAATTTTTTTCACTTTTTAATTGATTATACAGATTGTTTTATTTAAGTAGACTTAAAGATGCACATTATATACTTTCATCACTTTTACCCTTCCAAGCCTCTCCACTTACTCCAGCCTCACCTGAAGTTTCACATTTATGGGACAGTATCAGTGTGTATATTTTGATCATGTCCATCCTTCAACTACCTGCCCTTATACTTCCTTCTTTTTCCCTCCCTTTAGTCTAATAATAGTTTTTCTACTTTATTGTCATCCTCTTAGATGCCACATATCAGGGAGAACATACAATATCTATCTTATTTCACTAACATGATAGTCTCCAGTTCCAAGCATCTTCTGGCAAATGACATAATTTCATTCTTCCTTATAGTTTATTACTCTATTGTATATATACACATTTTATTCATCTCTTGATGAGCATCTAAACTGGTTTCATAACTTGACTACTGTGAATTCTGTTGCACTAAACATGTTTGTAAATATCCCTATGGTATGCTGACCATAATTGCTTTGGTGTATACCAGGGAGAACATCAAATGATAGCTCTATTTTTACTTCTTTTAAGGAACCTTCCTACTAATCTCCATAGGAGCTGTACTAATTTACATTCCCACCAGTGTTATGGAAGTGTTCCTTTTTTCCTTTGTAATCTTGTCAGCATGTACTGGTTTCTGTATTCTTGATGATAGCTATTCTGACTAGGGTGAGATGGAATTTCAGTGCAGTTTTGATTTGCATTTCTTTCCTTCAACTTATAAAAATAAGAGATCATTAACAAGAATAATGGTTACAGAGTTTGTATAAAATATGGGATTCTTTTTTTCAATCCTTAAAGTAGCTTTAGGGGTGGATCTTTTATATCATTTTACACACGTGAAATTCATACACAGGGCTTCACTCTAATCCATCCTAGAAACTTCTCCTATCCTTTTAGAATTTATATTTTAAGTGACATATTAGTTACTCTTCTTGTTGCTGCAGCCAAATACCCAACAACCATATGTTAAGAGGGGAAAGATTTATTCACCTCAGTTTGTAGGGGTTTCAGTCCATAATTGGCTAGATCCAAGGCAGGATGGTCTTGCAGTGGGGCATCACAGAGACCTAGTTCAATGCAAGCAGAAGACAGCAAAAACTAGCATATAAGAGACCTTAACAGACTCTTTGTCTGTTTTATCTAGGTTACTTAGGGCAGGTAGAACTCACACCCTTAATCCTATGCCCTTGATTTTACCACTGCACCATTAATTAATCCTAGTGTCACACACTCTATATCCAGGCACCTCTGAAAAAGCCCCACCTACAGCTGCAAGAGGCTTTTGCTGGACACCTAAACATAAAGCCATAACAAGGGAATATGCTCTAAGAACAGCCATGGTTCAGAAGATAGAACCTTCACTCTCACCAACTGTTCCTGAATAATCTCCAGCATACCTAAGAAATGCCAAGTGCAGTGGTGGTGGTAGAATGCAAAATGTGTAAGCTATGAGAAGGCTGCCTGGGTCAGAGAAGCAAGCATATAGCAGCCCTTAACTCATCCACCACTCTTGGTCACTGGACTCAAGCTGATGGCTCTTCCTGCTGACTCCTAGTAAGAACAAAGCATATTTGCTTACAAACGAAATTCCCTGCTTAAAAGCACATTATGGAGAAACCACATCCAAAAAGACATTCAGAGGTAAGTGGGTTATTTTTTCAGTCAGAGGTCAGTATGTATTCAGAGAAGAAAATTCAACATTGCTACTTTTGACTTTTTTTTCTTAATATAACTACAGGACTCAAGTATGTAATCTTTCAAAACACATGCACAAAAAATCAAACATATTTGTGAATCTTACATACTGTACTTTTTATATAATTGTACTTTTAATTACATCCCTTAACTTTTGAGGATTCATCTTTTCTTAAAATAGTGCTTAATTACCAGATCTTACTTTCTAAAAAATTTTAGGCTAGAAATTTCTAAGCACTTTCCTCACGAAGAATATTATCATGTACTGTGAACATGTATCAACATAAATAAAACTTGGGGGAGGTCTAAGGAGATAGCTTGGTGGTCTAAGTGCCTGCAAGGTAAGCTCAAGAACCTGGGTTTGATCCCTCGTAACGCATCCTATGCTGGCCCTGTAATTCTTGTCACACACCTGTAAGATCCCAGCGCTATGAGGCTGAAACAGGAAGATCACTATAAGTCCGAGCTGCATAGTGAGACCCTGTACCAAATGAATAAATGATTGAAAAATTTAAAAAAATAGAACTTGGGGAAAGTAACAAGAATATTGGGATGTTTTTGAAGGTGCAATGTATGGAGTTAATGGCAATGTTTCTTTTACTGTAAAAAATTTTTTAAGACTTAAAATTTCTCAGTAGTGTTTAGCAACATTCCATTAGTTTTGACATATAGTATTTATCATTTACTTTCTTCTTTGAACCACGACTCATTTACAATGTAATTGTCTCAATATAACAATGCCTGGTAACAATATAATACCTGGTATCTCTAACTTAACTGCATGGTAAGAGAATGTATGATTTTCATCCTTTAAGTATAGATGCTTTCATGAATATAGCTGATAACACTGCAAGTCTTTGTGGTTCTGTTCCTTCCAGTGGTTTTCACTTATCTTTTTTCTATATACTTATTTTTGGCTGCTTGCTGAATATTGCCTGTAGAAATGTTTTGTTACCTAAGTTACAATGTTGTTAAGTCTCTTGTATCCATGTCAGGTCTCAAGTTGTATTTACCTAGACTCAAAACTAAAGGCTGGCCCATGACCACTTGTCAGGGATCCTTTCTTTTACTGTCTCATTGACAGGCCACTGTCTCCTTTGAGGAAGGGGTGTGTTTAGCATTGATTTAATCCTTAGGGTACAGCACAGCTTAACTTCTAAAGATTCATCAATTTCATCTGATAATTCAGCTTCTACTCACAAGTCCCATCCACAGTAGTCTTGGACAAGTTACTTAGAAGAGTCTACTTGAAGCATTTGGTTTACCCAGATAATACTATACAGTTAACAATATTTTGTTAAGTTCTATCTGTTCCTGAGAAATTGTTTATGCCCAATCCTTCATATGATCTGCCCATTCTCACAAGTTATGACTCATTAAGACTATCACAGTACTTATCCATGGTCCCCTCAAAATATATTTGTGGTTCTACTGGAGGCATCACCTAACTTTTGGTGAAACCTATAATACTCCTGTGGGATGAATTTCCCTTTACCTTCTCTTATTATGGATCTGGTATAACTTACTCCACTAAGATATGACACATAAATTGTCTGTAGATTGCTCCATGAAGAGTCACAGCCTGTTTACATTTGGAGAATTTCTTTATTGGAGTTCCACCTTACCTTGCCACAGCTATCTGACCTTCATGACAAAGACAGTAAGCCCTGAACAAAGTATTCATATTTTACAAGAGACAGTAATTAGTACATATGTGGTACATGACATCTTTACAATGAATTCCAAAACAAACACTTAACAAGTGTATAAAGAAACAGATTTCCTAATCTCTCCATTATTGGTAGCTACTTAGCATTTTAGCTCTTGTAATAAAATGTCCTCTTACTCAACATTCCTACTCATAGGAATCCCTGAATCAATTCTGTAAGGTGCAAATTCACATTGAAGACATGTTAACTATTACAAGTGCCAGAATCCTCTCTGTTAAAGAGACACTTTTCATTTATCACACATTCATTATTCATTGAGGGAGTTCACTTGAAACTTTGTCTCACTCATTCAAATGGAGTATTAACAAATTCAATTTCCATTAAGACTCTCCTACTTCAGGTTAGACTTATGATAGTCTATGCTTTTTATTTTTTCCTACAAAGAAATCCAATTTTTTTTTACAAGTCGTCATCTACTTCCCCTAAGCCATTCAATTATATTGTGTATAACTCATGATCACTTATAAATGAATTTCTATTCCCTGAAGCCTATGTCTCCCTGAATTTGCCTGTTGCCTTGACGCCTTTCTTGAACTTTTTTTCCATTTTACTGACCAAGATACAATTGAGATTCAAAGCTATGCCTGAATTACCTATATTTCTACTCACAAAATTTACTCAAATAGTTTATATGGTATGTGATTTCTAATTGGAGTGTTTTCCTCATCTGCATTATTCTAGGTCCAAAAATATCTTATTTTTAGAATTTCAAAAATATGCCATTACTTTGATACTTTAAATTCCCAGTGTAGACTATCTTATATTCCAAAAGGGTTCAACTATCTTGAAATGAGCCTTCCTTGTTGACTGTTGTGAAAATCACAAAAATGGTTACTTAGATTATGTAGAATGGTTTAATTTATACCATGAAAATTACAAGCTGTGAATAACGACCTCAGAAATTTTTACATTCAAACAGTTTCTCTTCCATATGAGTTCTCTGAGATTTGGTAAGCTCTGCCTCCCACAAAGGCATCCTCATCCTGGTCCCATCCAAAGCAATCCCTCCTTCATATAGCCTCATCTGGGATGTACTACACTGATTCTCCACATTTATTATATTTAAAGGTTCTTCTCCAGTATGGATTTTTCTATGCTTGGTGAGATTTGATCTGATATTAAATGCTTTCCCACACTCATTACATCGGTATGGCTTCTTCCCAGTGTGGATCCTCCTGTGCTGGTCAAGGACTGACCTATAATTGAAGGACTTTCCACACTCACAATTATAGGGCTGCTTCCCACTGTGAACACTTTTATGGTTAATAAGACTTGAGTGTGAGATGTATGCCTTCCCACACTCATCACATCCATAAGGTTTTTCTCCTGTGTGGATCCTTTTATGCACTGTGAGGCCTGAACTGTTCCTAAATGCCTTCCCACATCCATCACATACATAGGGTTTCTCCCCTGTATGGATCCTCTTGTGCTGAGAAAGGAGAGAGCTGTAACTGAAAGATTTTCCACACTCAACACACTTGAAGGGTTTCTCCCCAAGATGGACTCTTTTATGGCTTATAAGAGTTCTGCTTGAGAAAAAAGCCTTACCACATTCATCACATGTATAGGGTGTCTTGCCAGGGTGTGTACTTTTATGATTAATAAGGCTGGAGTGTGAGATGTAGGCTTTTCCACACACATCACATTCATAGGGCTTCTCTCCAGTATGAATTCTTTTATGAACTTTAAGGCTTGAGTTGTTTCTGAAGACCTTTTCACATCTATCACATTCATAGGGTTTCTCTCTAGTGTGTACCCTTTTGTGCTGAGAAAGAAGTGAGGTGTAATTAAAAGATTTCTCACACACATCACATTTGTAGGGCTTCTCTCCAAGATGAGTTTTTTTGTGATTTATAAGAGTTCGGTATGTGATGAAGGCTTTCTCACACTCGTCACACTTAAAGGGCTTCTCCCCAGGGTGGACACTTTTATGATTTATAAGGCTTGAGAGTGAGATGTATGCTTTCCCACATTCTTCACATTTGTAAGGTCTCTCCCCAGTGTGGATTCGTTTATGTACTTTAAGGCCTGAATTATTTCTGAAGGCTTTTCCACACTCATCACACCCAAAAGGTTTCTCCCTAGTATGAATTCTTTTATGCTGTTCAAGGGCAGAGCTGTAGTTGAAGGATTTCTCACAATAGCTACATTTATAGGGCTTTTCCCCTAAATGGATACCTTTGTGATTTTTAAGGCTAGAGCGTGAGATATAGGCTTTCCCACACACTTCACACTCGTATGGTTTTTCCCCAGTATGAAGTCTCCGGTGGACTTTTAGGCCTGAATTATTTCTGAAAGTCTTCCCACACACATCACATACGTAAGGTCTCTCTCCAGTATGAATAGTTTTATGTTGAAGAAGGAGGGAGTTATAACTAAAGGATTTGCCACATTCTTTACATTCATGGGCTTTCTTCCCTGGGTGAATGCTCTTATGAACTGCAAGGCCTGAACTATAGCTGAATGCTTTGCCACAGACATCACACTTATAAGGTTTCTCTCCTGTGTGAATCCTTTTGTGCACTATGAGGCCTGAGCTGTTCCTGAAGGCTTTGCCACATTCATCACATTCATAAGGTTTCTCTCCAGTGTGGATGACTTTATGCTGAATGAGGAGAGAGCTATAATTGAAGGATTTCTCACACTCATCACATTTATATGGTTTATCTCCAAAGTGGATGCTTTTATGGTTTAGAAGTGTTCTGCAAGTAATAAAGGCCTTCCCACATTCATCACATTCATAGGGCTTTTCACCTGTATGAATCCTTTTGTGGACTCTCAGGCCAGAGCTATTACTAAAAGTTTTCCCACAGATGTCACATTCATAAGGTTTCTCCCCTGTGTGTATCCTTTTGTGGACTCGGAGACCAGAACTATTTCTGAAGGCCTTGCCACACTCACCACACTCATACGGCTTTTCTCCAGTGTGGATCCTTTTATGCTGGTCTAGAACAGAGCTGTAATTAAAGGATTTTCCACACTCATCACATTTACAGTTCTTCTCCCCAGAATGGGTACTTTTGTGGTTTATAAGGCTGGAATAGGACATATAAGCCTTCCCACATTCATCACACTTGTACGGCTTCTCCCCAGTATGTATACGCTTGTGGACTCGAAGACTGGAACTACTCCGGAAAGTTCCTCCACAGTCATCACACTCATAGCGTTTTTCCCCAGTGTGCATAATTTTATGTTGAACAAGACGGGAATTATATTTGAAGGACTTCCCACACTCATCACATTTATGTGAATTTTTAACACCACTGGTTTTCTGCTGTGGACTGCTATAAGAGTTTCCGTTAATATTCTCCACACAGTTGTTTTGTTCATTGCTTTTCTGTTCTATAGGTATAGTTTGGTGGATAACAGGCTTTGAGCTCAAATGTAAGCTTTTTTCAGATGACTCATTATCCTGTTCTGTCTTTATATTTGCCATGTTCTTAGTTCTGCTAATCTTTTCTATGATGACACTTAGGTCTTCTTTCATTCTTTTCACCTTGGGCCTTTCTGGTGGATTCTTTACCTTGCTATTCCAATCATAAGCTTTACCAATCTTTGATTCTTGCCTAGGATCCTTGTGAAGACTTTCCACTTTTGGCCACTTATATTCTGGATTTCCAACATATTCATTTGTTTCAACTGGTTCATCATTCTCAGTGCTTGTCTCCAAATGTGACACTAAACAGAAAAGAAAATGGAACTCGTTCACTTCATTTAGAAAACAGAAGAATAACATCAAACTTCACTCAGGGGCCAGGAAGATGGCTCAGTAGATTAAGCGTTTGCCTGGCAAACGCAAGGGCCTGAGTTCAATCCCTGGTTCTGGGGGAAAAAAAAAAAAACAACCTTCACTCATCCACTTGATATTAACTGCATGTCACATGATACATACATTTTTAATTACTAGGGATATAAAGGTAGACATAAAACTTCTGCCCTTATGAAACTAATGTTAAAACACTAGAACCCTTAAATTTCAAAGCTCAAAGAACTTTTTTATTCTTATATAACAGCTTAGCATGAGGGCCAGCTAAAATGAATTAAATGATGCATACTGAAGAGTTGCTGAACAATGTCACCTACACACAGAAAAATAAACAGAAGGTAAAATAAATCTCTGAAGGAGACAGATTAATAAGAAAAAAGTGAGGCATAATTTTATATTATGTAAAATTATACATAAATAGCAAAGAGCAGGCAAAATAAGAGAAGAAATTAGGATGTGGATAAAAATATTGGGGAGGCAGTTGTGGTTATAAAATCATGAGGACATTCACTGCTGAGATAAGAAAGCAACCTGCAACTGCTTAGAATTGGACTGGTTTGGCCTCCTGGATTTTCTCTCCTGGGAAAACACTGACCATGGATAAGTACATGCTATAGTTAGGGAAGAGCTCTACACAAAAGAATATGCTCCAACTGCCAGGCAGGGAACAAAGCTTTCATTATCACTTATGAACAGGCAAACCACAGAACATACCAAAGACACAAACCATTAAGCAAAGGATGTACAGTTGGCCCTCTGTATCCAGATTTTGCATCCATGAAAGCAGCCAATCATGGATTAAAAATATTCAGAAAAACAAAATTCCACCTGTACTCTACATGTACAAACTTCATCATTATGCCCTAAAATATATAGCATAACAAAGATTTACACAGTACTTAACACTGCCCAGGCTGAAACGCTCTGATCCCTTAAAGATACTATACACATGACTGACATTCCATCATTCCCTCACTGACAAACTGACTCCTGAGACAAAAAGAAACTGTTCTAAGTTACCTATCTTCCACCTTAGACAATGAAACATTTTTGAGCAGACTTATTTATAATTTTGATTTCTTGCTCTGGCTATCAGATGCTTTTTTTTAGGAGAGGGTCTACAGGGTCTACAGGGTCTCACTGCATAGATCAGACTTGTAGTGATCCTCCTGTTTTACAGCCTCCCAAGTGCTGGGATTACAGGTGAGTGCCACAAGGCCCATCACCATCTCAGTGCGCTCTGGTGGTGTGAGGGGGTGGGCACAGCCAGCCCGGGGATTGAACTCCCAGCCCAAGTCTGGTGAGGCAAGTGCTGAGCTATTTGGCTGGCCCTTTATCAGATGCTTTGGATCAGTTCTCTGAAATTCTGTTAATCCTATTTAGAAAACTTTATATGCAAATATGTGAGCAAGGAACAGTGCCAATTAAAAATAAAGTACAATACATACTTTGGAGTAGATTCATTTTAGAAAAATACACAAAGTAATCCAACTTATATTTATGGGAATGATGTACTCCAAATTAAAATTATAGCACAGGAAAGCAAGCTAGAGCTCAGGAAAACGCTAGGAACATCAAATAATCACTCAGTAGATATTGACTACCAAAAACAAAAAAAGTTCAGCTGAGTATCACAAAATGACTTAAATGAATATTACATAATACTAAAAATTATCAGAGATCACTAAGGAATGGCATGACTCTATTAGTTCAGGCAAGTCCACTGAAATGAGACCTTCTGTGTGGGCAGTGGAACCCCAAAACTATCAGCAGCAACACACTGATATAAAAGGTAAATGTAACTGGTTGTGGTGGTGCATGCCTGAATTACCAGCACATAGGAGACTGAAACAGAAGAAACCACTACGGGTTGAAGCTAACTTGGGCTACACAGTGAATCCAGGGCCAGCCTGGCTATATAGCAAGATGCTGTTTTTAAAAAACTAGAATAAAATAGATAAAATAAATGAAAGGTGAATATGCTTTGAATGCTGTTCCTATACACATTGGAGTTCTGCTCCATTCATTTCCTTTTCTATCATGGCCCCTCTATGTCTATGCACCTTGGATCCTCAGGATAGAAAAACATTCAAGTTCCTATAGACATAAAAACAATTTCATAAACACACAAAAAATGCTAGTAAAAAAAAAAAAAAAAAACAAAGAAAGAACTATCAGGGGATTCATTATTTCCTAACAAATATGAAAACACAGTATCAACACTCTAAATAAAACACTTGCATGAAATAGAAAAGTTTAGCAATTTTCCCCACTCCCCATAGATACAAATGATAAGGCTAGTGTTTCACATTATTGGGGGAAAAAGCCAATCTTTATTTAAGATTGTTAGTATTAAGACCAATGGTGTCACAACTACTATAAGCTATACAGAAAAAGATAAAATTACATCCATTCTTTACCACACACTGAAATAAACTCCAAGTGGAACAGGACTCTAAATATTTTTTAATAACAAGTTATACAAGTACTCAAAGAAAATGCAAATAAATACCTCCATGGCTTGGGTATAGAGAAAGCTTTCTAACTATAATACAGATGTAATGAAAAACTAATGTCTAAGTATACTACATAAAAATAAAATTTTATGGTAAAAATACCATTAACAAATCAGTGACAAAATGGAAAAATATTCATATATATTGATATATAATCCTGATAGGTTAATAAATAAAGGGCCAATATTCTTAGTATATGAAGAATTTTCAAGCTGCACAGGGTGGCACACACCTAAAGCCCCAGTACTTTGGGAACCTGAGGCAAGAGGATCAGAAGTCCAAACCTAGGTTGGGTAACTAAAAGAGGTCCTTTCGCAATAATTATTATTATTATTTTTTTAAAGCTAGGGATGTAGCTCAATGTTAAGGACCTTAGTTTAATTCTAGTACTGCAATACATACATACATACACACATACATACATACATACATACATATAAGAATTTTCAAATACTGAAGGGAAATAAGACTAAATATCCCATAGAAAAACAAGCAAAAGATATGGACAAAAATAAATATTAAACTTGAAAAAACATCCAACTTCACTAATGAGAAATATAAAGTATTAATAGCATTTCCATTTGTCACCTTGGCAAACATTCAGAACTTGACAATAGTGGAGGCTGTAAAGGTAGCAAATATTCTCATACATTATTAGGAATGCAAACCGGCACACAACCCCATTACGGTAGGGAATTTCCTGCTGCTTAATAAAAGTACATTTTTTTCCCTTTAATCCAGAAATCTCACTTCTAGAAATTTATACTTAAGATATACTTCTAATAATACACAAAGATATCATTATAGCACTATTTATAACTCCAAAATATGGAGGAATATCTAAATGTGCAAAAAATAGAAGACAAGGTAAATAAACTAAGACACATATACAAAATAGAGTATTATGCTAGTACTATATTTTTTGTGTAAGAAAGAAAAGAAACAATCTTCAGCCCCAGAAAACAATTGCCACTTAAAAGGGATGGGATCAGAGAAAAGCGTAGAAGGGAGAAAAAAGAAACTCTTGGGTAAGCAGCTTTTTGTATTATTTTTACTTGTAGAAGCATAATATTCTGCATATTCAGACAGCAAGACTAAATTAGTAAGGAGAAACTAGTAAAACAGGAAACAGAAACAAATGAACTCACATGTGTTCTGTATGACTACCAAAACCAAAAGACAAAAATAGAAGGAAACAAATCCTGTATTTTAGAAATGTGTGTGTGTGTGTGTGTGTGTGTGTGTGTATAACATATATGTGTATATATATACATCAGTCTTGGAAAGTTGGGAGGGTGTAAGAACTGTAAATAAAAACTATTTTTAGGTTTCTTTTCTCTAGTGGTATAGGCAATTCAGAAAGCAATTCAGAAAGCAATTCAGAAAGAATTATTATTTAATTCCAAGTAAATGTGATGATTTTTGTTTGGAGATAGGGTTCTGATGAAGACATAAAAATTCCAACTACTATAGTAAAAGGCAAGAAAGAACCTTGTAGGGATGAACTGGAGAACTGGTGTGAACTCATCACTTCTACATTATATATGTATCACATTTATATGAATGTATACATATTCACTTTTATGTATAGTACTTATGTGCATATATTCCTTAGCTCAAAGTAAAAAATTTTTGCTACAAAGTAAAAAATCAAAAGCATCTCAGTGATAATCAACATATCAAGAGCCTAGCCTAGTTTTCTATTACTATTCTCTGATAAAAGGTACCAAAATCCTTATAAAAATGGCTGGTTCTAGGTTGGAAACAAGATGTGCATGATGTCCTGGGGCATCCTGCTATACCAGCAAGTAAGGAGGGGTTCAAGAAAATGATGCAGAATGGTACAGGACTACAGGAGTCAACTTTAGCACCCAATTTAGGTACCACAGATATCACAGTAATGGATTATAAACTACTAAAACTAGAATTTCAATAAGACCATACAGGTAAAACTTAGAGAAGTCCTTCCAGCAAAATATTACTGGTTGGAAAAAATAGCATTCTGCAATTATCAGAGTAAAGACTGGGACCCATCTTACTCTATGTAAGTTTCTCAAATTCATTTAAGAGAAAAAAAAAACAACTTGGATATATGAGGGATCAAGAGGTCAAAGTAATATCAAGCAGGTGAATTTGAATAAACACTATTTTTTTACTATTCTGATTCTTGAAATTTTTCTATATATTTGAAATTATCTTCAGATAGCTTTTAGGATGTCAAACAGTAACTACCACATCTACTATCTTTCCCTGTAGGTAGTACTCTCACCATCCTGCTTCCTACTCTTAAAAATATGGGCTTCAGGTTGCATTTCCCCTCAAGCTTCACCTACTCAATCTGACTTCTCCCACTCAGATCATGCTGCAGTTTATTTTATTTATTTATTTTTTAGTTG